TATCCAAGGCTGTAAATAAATTTTTGTTGAAACATCAAAACTTGATGGATTAATGAGGTTCCGTCGTAAGAGATCATCTGCTGGAGCAGGAAGATTGAGATCGAGCTTAAGATGGAGTGGCTCAGAATTGTCAATGAACTTTGGTCTTTGCTGAATCTGCTCCATCTGATCTTGAAACCGATGAAACTTAGCCAAAGAGGAAGTGTCAGGTGCATTTGAAGTGATCCAGTGACATCTTTTATGCCCTCCCAATGCCTGTCCTGAAGAAAAAACCCGGTGACAGATTGAACATTCGTGTACTTTTGATTTCCTTTTCGATGTAGAGGCCAATGGAGTACTAGTTCCTTGATCAAATTGCATAGTTGACGTTGATTTTGTAGGGAAAAATTCTTCGTTTGTGATAACATCGTGGTCTTCATCAGCTTGACTATCATCCATATGATCAAACCGAGCTGCGAAACATCCCTTAACCTTCTTGTGACTGGCTCTATGTCCGCCCAATGCTTGATGGGAATTGAACACTTTCTTGCATGCTTTGCACTCAAATAGCCCTTTGGCTACGCCTTTGGCCTTGTCCATAGGTACCCTACATGCAATAGGAGCAATGAAATTCATTGTATTTCTTCTCTCCTCTTCTTTGCTGGCAGAAGCACAAGACTCCTCAGGCTCGGTTACAAAAGGATCAACGGTTGCATTAGATAACATCATTAGGCAATTGGCAAGATCTTCCTCTTCGCTTGATGGGCAATTCATGGAGTTGAAATTACCCACTTTGGCTCTCAATGATCTTTTCCTTTTAGACCAACCGCACCCTCTCCTTGTCACGCCATCGTCACCGTCTGACCCTGGTGAGGACACAAGCGATTCAGCATCCTCAGAGCTACATTTACCGTGCTCAAGAAAAGATTTCCATGACAAAAACTCCTTCCCACAATTCTCACAAACCCTGCAGCTCTTTAATCGATTAGGGTTTGTTCTTAATGCGTACATGCGCTTGTTACTAGGTGGCACGTTCCCTCCTAATTTGTCTTCCCAATCACTTGCAGGATCATTGTCGTCAATGTGCCCGCTCTCGTCGCCTATTCCATGCGCCCTCATATGCCCACCAAGTGCTCTCCCGCACCCAAATCCTTTCTTGCAAATTTTACAAAAGTGTTTAAAGTTTGACTGTTGATCCACAATAAATGCCATGCATTGAAAAGGAAAAAAAAAAGTTAAAAAGCAAAAGGAAATCTGGGAAATTTAATGAAGTGAAAGAAGAATGGGAAAGAAGGGTTGAGTTGTTTGTTCTTGTATAGTGAAAGGTTGTTGCAGAGTTGTATGGTGAAAAGAGGAACTAGTCCTAGTTTTTAGTAAGAGTCATGGCTTGGTTTTTGTGGATGAAAAATAGATTAGAAAAGAAGAGAGCAAATGGAGAGTTGAGGAGTGTGGTGACAAGTGGTAGGAGAGGAAGAGGGTAAGAGACTTTTTCCACGGCTTAGTGGTGGTGCTGGTGGCGCCGCCGGTCAAACAAATGTTACAAAAACCAACGGAGTTCCGCACAACCAGTGAGAGTGTTAGAGTCTGAGTTTTTTTTTTTTTTGCGTCTGTAAATATTGTGTGAGAAAGAGAGAGTGAATAAGTGATCAGTGAAAGAGATTAAGAGAGAGTGGTTCTAACTGCCATACCTATTCATATCCCTTCAATTCCAAGCCAAGAAAACCATCCCATGCTTCTCCTTCTCTGTCGGTTGGTTCAATCTGCTTTTCCACAGATTTTTTATACTCTTACACATTATTATTATTATTATTATTATTATTATTATTATTATTATCATCATCATCATCATCATCATCATCATCATCATCATCATCATCATCATCATCATCATCATCAAAACCCTTTTTTTTTTGAGAGAAATGGAAGGACGTTAAATATATATATATATATATATATATGGATTTCTTTTCTATGACATTTTTTACCTAAATCATATTGCAGCACGACGTAATCCTTAGTCATGCTAATTAAATTCCTTAATCAAGCTGGTAATTCAAAATAAAATATCATCAGTTTTTTTTTTTACAAAAAAATCACAATTTGAGTAAAAATAATTATAAATGTTAAGATAATGAAATTTGAATATCAAATTTACTGTGTATTATTTTTTAAAAATAATTATATAAATTAATTTAGTTAAACTTTGAATTCATAATCAATCTTTTATACACATGAATAATGAATCAAGTTGAGGTGAAAGGATTCATAATTTAAATATAAGAGCAATGAGACCTTAGTTTAGTGATAAAAAAGAAATCTTAGAACATGACGATCTTAGATTCAAATCATATATTTGGTTGTTTAGTTATATTCTAATTTATTAATTAATGATTCAGTAATTGTAATTTAATTATAATATAATAGTGGATGTAATAATTGATTAGGATTATAACTTAAAAAATATATATGTAAGTTAGCATTATGTTATAATTGCCTTAGCTAGGCAATTTGAAGCTCAATCTATTAGCATATAGAACAAAAACTTTGTTTAGATTTAAGAGAATTTGTACTAAGTTTGTAGTTAATTATGAGATCAATTAGCAAAAGTCACTGAAGTACTCATGGGCTTGGCTAAGAAATGACTTTGCTTCCATCAGTATGGCAGTGGGTTTAGTCTCTCTAATCAATCAATGATCATCCTGTTGCTTTGACTCAAAGCATTCTATATTAAGCCAACTAGCTAGCTAGTCAATTAAGTAGTGATAGTGATTAAGCAAAGAGGACTGTTGGTTAGTCCAAGGGCCAGCCTATATTGAAGTAAGGATCAGTATACTCATCAACTGCATTTCAAGCTCAAGAACTTCACGTCGATGGTTGGGACCATTCCCCGATGATTTTGATGTAAATATGATTAAATATGATGATATACAGGTTGATGCCTGCCACCTAACATTTCATTTTATAGGTGTCAACTAGCCATTGATAAGCGTATATACTGGCCCATTTTGGCTTAAATTGGCCTCGAAATGAAGCAGTTTTTATGTTTTCCGTCTCATTTTATCAGACATTTCAATGGAGAGCATGGCGCAGTTGCAGTAAGTAACAGTGATTTTAAGGCCTTTTTGAGTATAATGTTGCTTTCTGTCGGCATATTGTAGTATTTCACAAACTGAATTACAATTATTCTTGCTTAATTACAAATTTGCACCACAATGTTCAGCTGAATTATATTATCAGGACACTAATTAGCGATAAATTGCTCCTAATATTATTATCTTGATCTCATTTCAACCTGTAAACGATGAAAGAAAAGATAAAGCGAACTAGTGATATTCATAAATTGAGTCAGAGCTGAATTTAGATCGAATTTATATTTAATATTAATAATTTATATATTTATTTATATTCGATTCAATAATTTAAATTTTTAAATTTAATTTATATAATAAATTTTTTTAAATAAAATATAAAATAAAATTTTAATTATATATTTATATAATTATAAAATTTTAATTTTATATATATTGTTTAAATCAGACATTAATTTTAATTTTTTTATTTGAAATTTAAAGGAATTTAAAATTTATGACCGAATACTTTAATTAGAAAAATAAAATCTGGGAGAGGTTGAGGATTGTCCAAAGCCCAAACCTTGACAAGACTTGCAGCCTGAACCCAATAGTAGTTGACAAGTGCTCCAAAAGTGGGCTAAAAGGCAAATGAACGCCACACAATAATTAAAATTTTTCATTTGAGCAATTGAGCATATATCCACTTAATATTTACATTAGATGCATGTGAAATTTTTTTGTTAGTTTTGAAGAAAATGAATCAGATATACATATATATATAGTATAGGGCAAGATTTTGAATCTGTTGCATAAAACTAACTATAAATTATTTACATTGTCCTAGTTTTACAAACCTTCAAATAATGAATCTTAAGATTTTTTTTTCACTTGAAATTAGAATCCATTTTCTACCAAGAGATATCTTCAGCAACATTACATTTTCGGCTGAAAAAAAAGTTTTCTCATACTCTTTTTTCCTCATAGGAAGAATTAGAAAGAGATTAAGTGGGAACTTAACTATATAATTTCTATAAAAATATTAAATAGGGATAGGTGGTATGAAAGATGGAAAGGGATAAAAATAAAAAATTTATTAATATAATGGTCAAGCTACAAAAGTAAAAAAATAATTATGAATTTTAACTATTAGATTAACAAATTTTTCATATTTACTTCTTTCCATCATTCTTACTAAATAAAATCTTAAGAGATGATTTTCGGCTAAATCTCAATATTTATAATATTTTTCTTCTATCTTCATACTACAATGTCTTTTATAAAAAAAAAAGTTTAAATTTCTTAGATAAATAGCATTGCCACCCAACTTATTATATATATATATATATATATATATGTTCCCTCCGTCTCAAACTATTTGTAATATATTAATTTTCACGAAAATTTAAGAAAAAAAACTTTAATTTTAATGTAATTAATATTAATTTTTAATTTTTTCTATAAAATTAATGTTACATGATTTTTAATATCAAAAGGTAAAAAAAAATCATAAAAAAATAATTTAAAAATATAAAAAAAGTTTTAGATATTCAAAAAAATAAAAATAAAACATAATTTTGAAACATAAAAGAAATAAACAAAGAAAATGAGACAAAGGGAGGAATATTTTGTTGTCATTTTTTATATTGGTCTCTTTATTTGGTTGTTACTCAATTTCTCTCGAGGCTTTTATCTCACTGCATGTAAAAGAAAAGGGGGACTAATTGAAATTAGTCATACGATTCAAGCTATGAACTATATATAATATATTAATATATTATATTTGTATTAATAATAATTCTCCCCCATAAACATATGTAATCAAGCAATTAAGACATGGAAGAATATCATTTTGACTTAAAATTCGCCAACAATACGTATTAAACTTGTAACTTGTTATTCAAATTAAAATACGTACGTATACCTAATTTATACTAATTACATCGTCACGTATTAGGCATTAAAATTAACAACTGATCTATAGGTTTTCCCGGGCTCCCAACCAGCAGGAATAACACCAGCTGCCACAATGGTCTTGCCAGATTCGAGCGAAGTTAGCCTGATAGAGAACGGAGCCTGCAACCTCGAGCCAGCGTCAAGTTTCCAGACTGCACCCCAGGATTGTTGCATGGGTTGCCAGTAGTCAGAGTCAAGCGCTTGTTTAAGATCAACAGAAGAAAGGTCACCATCTCCATTTTCATATTCAACCAGGGTGGCGAAATAATTAGGATTGGAGCCGGAATCAACGTGAAATGCAATGGTCGTTCCAGGATAGTTACATTCAACTCTGCAACCCATTTCGTCAACAAACAGAATGGTTAGAAAATTAATGTTAGGAATTTGATAGCGAAATGAAGATTTAAAATTACTTAAAAAAATAGAGTAGATAATTAATCATAAAAACTAATCCCATAGGCCATAGGCGTGGTTTAAAAAATGTCCATTCCCAAGAATATATACTCCCAGTGTCCAATTAATAAACAATTAAAGTAGACTTGAAGGTTTCTTTCCTTCACATTTTCCATTAAACGTAATCTCAGGATTAAATTCTTCGTGGAAAAAAATTTACAAATTGCGTCATGCTCTCATCCTCTCATTTTCTAGTCAGTCCCAAAATAGTCCCAACAACACATGCACTCACGTGCATAAAATGTAAACTCTTACTTTCTATATTGAATCTGCAAGACTCCAGCGTTACGGAGTTGTTCAGCCCGGCCAGAGTTTGCCATGGCACCAAAAGCTGTGCCACTTAAATCGAAATGAACAGATTCTGAAACACAGCCAGGGCATTCATCAGTGATTACTACGGTCACAGGGTTTCCCGAGCAGGCTGAATTAGCCGTGCATTTTACCTGAAATATTTCAACCAGATATGTCATATACATATGCTAATTAAACTGAGTCTTAACTACCTCGCTAGCATATAAGCCTTTTTGGATACGTATTAACAAATTCCTAGAAGCTATATTTACATATAGTAGTAATAGTAGAATATATATGGAAATATGCAAATTTTATAGCACCTCATAACAGGCTCCACATCCTTTGCCAGATTTGAACAGAGAAGGGCCTCCAGCTGATATCATTGCCGAAAATGGGGCTTGCTCCACACTGCTCCCATATCCACAAGCTCCACCTAGATGCAGAAAAAAAAATTGAATTTCAAGAAATAATATCATAAAATAAAAGAAAAAAAAGGTACGTAAATATTCTCAATCATTCTACTTGCTGAGCAGTACCATCACTTCCAGCCCCTGTGGGGCTGCCATACCACGTTGCTCCGGCTGGGGACCAATCAGACTCAGATGCTGCAAATGAAGCGTTAAGGAGCTTAGGGTAGAAGCCGTAACAACTGTTGAATAAAAGGGAAACTGTGGCTGCAAAAGTGAAAAGGGAGAACATGTTTTCAGGAGTAATGGAAGTCATGAAGCGGATACCTTGATCAAAGAAAGTTAGAAACTAGTAAAGGAAGAGCTTAAGCTCAATTTTGCTGATAATGGCTTCAGCAGATCAACGACTAGGTATTTATAGAGCAAAGGCTAGTGCATGGTTTCTAATGCAATCACTTAGTAGTGACACGTGTATGTATAATAGGATGATTTAAGCATTATTTTCTCCAGGAACAAGTCAAAAGAAGATCTTTGAGATACGAAATAAGTTATAAACTATACTACTTTATTAGACTTTTATAAGAAAAATTTACAAATTTCAAACATGAATCTTTCTAACTCCAGTTTTTAGTCAAATGAAAATTCTTTAGGACCAAACTAATTTAATTACATAATTAAATTGAATATAGTTCGTAGTTCTACATCTTAATTTCAAGCAATTAGTTGAGAACTTGAGATTTCTTTTTTGGCACAGCCCAAAATCACAGAACAAAACCGAACAATGCCGACGAGTTACACAAGGCACCAGAGAGACACGGCTAAACAACAATCACAGGTTCATAAAACAACACACAATAACAAAGAACAACAATGCCAAAACTCAGAAAACAAAACAAAAACAACAGGAACAATAGAAAAACCAATAATAGAAATCAAGTATCTCTTGTCCTGGCCAAATTTGACAGCGGGTGAATCAGCCAATCGTAATGTTTATCCACAAAAAATTAACAAACTCCATTGAACTAAAATCCAATTCATTGACAATCACCAACAAAACTATTTGCTTAAAAAAAGAAGAAATTATTTTAACTTTAATGTTCTGTCTATATTAGTCCAATCACAAGTTAATTATTAGTGTTAATGATGGTTCTGTTAGCAAAAACCCTATGACTATCAACCCAATCTTAACAATTACAGTAAATCAAATGTTAAAGAATGAGTTATATATTTATAAAAGCATGCATCAACATATATAGATATATGTTATTTCACATCTAATAAATATTTAATTTTTTATGATTTTATATTTAGGTTAAGCTCTTTTGTTTAATGTCAATTGATTTTATATAAGATATTTAATATGATATCAAAATTAAAATTTATTTTCGTTGTCCTTTCTAAATCTGTCACAAGTAAACTTCTTTTCATCTTCTCTTACATGTGTAAGAGATTGTTAGTATTATATTATTTCACATCTAATAAATATTTAATTTATTATAATCAGATTGGACATTTTCACTTAATATCAATTAATTTAGATACTTAACAAGATATATATACATATATAAACACTATATAAACATACTCCACCATGGCTACATCAGTTGGATTGCTTGTTTCCAGGCTTCGTTGCCGGGCAAAACAATGCAATCTGATTTCCTCTCTTTGTCTTTCTCCTACGTAGACTTTAAAGTTCAAACGAAGCAAAGACTATTAACGTCTTTTTTGTCTGTTTGTGCATAAAAGTTGCATGTTAGGTTTCAATACGTGGGCCCCCAAAAGGCTTGTTAACATCGGGTCCACACTTTCGTATGTTTCTCACCGTCTCATCACACATAATCAGCCCCCCTCCCTCCTCAATTCATGGGGACATGCTTAATAAACTTCAAATTAAAACAGCGAATGCACATACAAGATTTGCGGTGAAGATTTGAAAGGAAATACAAACACAATTTCCGTTAATTTTGCCGTTGAACATCCCTATCCCAACGATCCATTTCATTCAAAATACGAACGTAACATTAGGCGGAGATTTGGACTTCTCTGATTTCAAATCATTTTTATTACATTCAATAAGAGTGATTATTGTGATCAACTCCTTTGTTTTATATGAAAATTAAAATTACTTTTTTTAATAAAATGTAAGTATGCATATATTTGTAATAATTTTTTTGTTTTGAAATTATTAAAAATTAAATTTTGATATAAAATTAAAAATATAACATTGTAATAATGAATTACACAATTATCCGCATGACGATAATAAACTTTAGTGCCTTCAATTCTACGGCAAATATAGATTTTTATTTTTCAATGGTTTATAAACTTTTGAAAAAAATGAAGAATTTTTTAGCAATAATGGAATTTTAAATACAGAGTCTAATTAGTTGAGGCAGCTCACATGGCTATCAACATCAAAGATGAAGAGTGAGTCCTTCATTCCGAACAAGCTGACTGAGACAACACGAGACCATCCCTTTCATGCTGAAGAGTGAGAGATAGTTGCAACAGGAAGAAATGCCCCCCGCAGGCTACACGACGAATATGGCTCTAGGTGAAACAAAATGGATCTCTAAATATAACCATAGAAAAATCAGCTTAAAATAGAGGAATTTTTGGTAAGATCACCAATAGCAATATATGTTTTTCCTTATTATTCCGGACAAAGCTTCAGTTGGTGAAACAGAAAGTTGTTCAGGGACATCCCATATGAAAATTTTCCATCATACATATGCATTTAATGCTGAATCAGAATCTTATAAGAAGGTCAATTTCTATCACCAAAATTGGAAAAGAAAAACTCAGTAGTCAAATGGTATAAAAGGGTCCCGTATTGCTACATTGTTTTTTTTATCAAGAAAAGTTTAAGAACAGGTTAAAGATATTTTAGACATACATTACCTGCCAATAGAAAATTATGAAGGTTTAAACCTATGTACTTTACATTTAAATTCTAAATTTTAATCATTTATGTCAATCCTTATTAGCTATTACATTTACATTTCATGCTGTAGAAAGTATTCTGCTACTTTCTCTCTCTCTCAATGTGGGTCAATACTCAATATATTCATATCAATTCATTTAATCTTTCCGCTACTTTTGGATTGCCTGACTTTCCAAGTAGATTTGAAAATTTTAAATTATTGAAGAATTTCACATGCATGTCGAAAGGAAAATGTATTTATCTCCCTATTAATTAGAAAAGCAGGACAAGTTCTCGCCAGCTGACGTTGAAAAACGCACCTTGATGGAATGGGTTTGGCATAAATCGTAGATTCGGTTCAAGGTAACTGTTTTGGGCTTGTGCTCAAAAAAGAAAAAAAAAATTAAGGATGTAACTCGTCCTCGACAACTCAAGGAGCAATTGTAATTTTTAAAGGACCAAAAAAATTCCAATCTCAGCCTTCCAAACACAGCTTTTACAATCTTCCAATAGGGCTCCTAATTCCTACGTATTAAGGGTGATGAGAGAAGACCCTAGAGCCCAATAATCAGATGAGGTCCCTCCAACGCTTCACTAATCACTCTTGGGTCACCCAAAACTTCAAAAAAAAAAATGCTACCAACTCCTAATGGAAACATATTTAGGACCTGAATGATCCATTGTTCTTTTGGGCCCCTCAGCCTAGTATTCAAAGCATAGGGCTTCAGTTTTGTTATACTATTAACAGGCAATGGCCCAAGAGCCTAGATATACAATAAATGATATTACGAATCGACATCAAATACCATCCAGGCAAAATGGCCTATGACCCACTTAGCTTATGGAGACGCTTCTTGGCCCAGTCCTGAATATCAACTATGCCCAAGTGTCTGGCTTCCCTTAAATTTTCATTAATTCACGTGGAGATTCACACTCAATTTAAGATATGTTATCAATTTTGATTCAAATATTTTATAGCTTTATCTCATAAAAAATATTTTATAAGTTTAAATGTTTATTTATATTTCATAAAAGATCTCAAAATATTTAAATATAAAATTAAAACATCACAAACTTTCTTTATTAAAAGTCTTATTTCACAAAAAAATGTCTTACAAGTATGAATTTAAATTTTTGCTTATAAATCATATCAAATTTTTAAAATATCTTGATATTAAGATTGGAGTGTCACAAATTTTTTTTATTAAAACTTAATCTCCACGTCAAATCCAATAGAAAGCACACATAGAATTAAAATCATGACTAGTGATCACTCTAATATTATTTGTAAAAATTCATACTCAACTTATAAGATATTATCTATTTTAACCAAAAATCTTACGATTTTATCCCACAAAATGTGTTCATTAATTTTAGGTTTAAATTTTTACTTATATATCATAACAAATTTTCTAAATATTTTAATGTAAAATTGAGATATCACACTTCATTTAATCGATTGCAATTTACATAAATAATTAAATCCTTTTGCGATGATTGATGATACTTTGATCATCAATCTTTATTCCCTTTTACGAATACATGACATATTCTTTGTCAGGAGGACCAAGCTCAACAATATGATTGTATGGTTGAAACTTTACTTTTTGTAATTATATATGTACTCTATACTGTGACCATTGTTATTTCATGCGTGTATTATGCAATAAAGAAGATGTTTAATATAGGGATATTACATATAAAAAAGCTAAAACCAGTTGTATTATATGAGGCAAAGTGAACATAATTCATGGCAGAGATGTAGAGTTTGGAATTGAGCTTGGGAGAAAACAAAAATCAATGGTGCATCTGGGGAGGAGCAAATTCAGGCGAAACTTTCTGGTAAGAAAGAGAGCTGACTTAGAGCTGAATTATTATTAATCACAAATACTCATAATTTATAGCCAAGGAGTGGGTTGATAGGGGACAGCCTTAGTTGTAAGAATTATAGCACACCAATCTATGTAGAAACACTGCTGCCTTACTCCAACTCATTTAATTGTCGTTTTCGACAAAGCCAAGCTTGTACCTTCTTTCTATCTCATTTTCCACTCCCCACTGTTTCATTCACTGCATTTTATGTTATTGGGACTTTGAACTTTTGGTTCCTTCATGCTAATAGATTACTATGAGTTTCGGATTATGGGAGAGACGTTAACTGTCTTTTTCCATGGAAATGGCCATGGTTTTGTTTTAGGGCTACCCTAGCTACCACCGAACCGTACATCATCGTCATTAAAGGACTAACTCTATTCACCAACTGCAACATCTTGATGATAGGGCCCATAGCTCGTCGGTGTGTGGTGCGGCCACATCTTCCAAGAATCAAACATTTCGACTTATTTGGGAATATGATGAACACAGCATTAGGCGCATACCCAAAACTATTAGATTCTGGTTTAGCAATGGCAAAACATGTTTAAGACACTAAAGCTAAATCAAATAAAGTAATGTTTTCTTAAACCAAATAATCATTTCTCAAATTTCACGTTCTTTTTGCGTCCGCCTTCTTTCCTCTTTCCTCTTTCCTCCTCTGCGAAAAGTTGTCTTCTGTTTGGTAAACATTATTGTTGTTTGACAATTTTAAATGCGATTTGTTGTAGTAATACGTATTAATTAAAAGCGGTCCGATGTAGGTTTATGTGATGGAGGCCTTCCCTTTTGCTTCAAATCGAGACAACAAGTTTGTTAGATAAAATTAATGTTATTCCTAATTCTACATCCAAGTTTCAACTAACTGGATTTTATTACATAAATAATGTATGCTCTGTTCTGAACACAGGTCATTTTCTACTTAAAACTAGTTAGTTAATGTACCATCCTGTATCACTGGTTTGTTTATGTCAATTTTCACTGTGTTGCCAATGGGCAATGGCCCTTCTAAACTGTGATTGGTTGTAAGTATGTAAGTAAAACGAAAACCATGGGAATGTTAAAAACCATACGATATGGTTATGCTTATACACCACTCCTCTGTACTCAAATAAACCATCACATATTTATACATCGAATCTGTACAAAACCAAAAGCAAAATAGGGAGAATGAAAATTGCCTCAATGATACAATTACAACATAATGCGAGCAATCTGGTTGTATCTTCTTTCTTCATTTTGTCTTGATTTGATTTCTTCAGCACATCTTAGAGTCCTCTCAATGTGGTATCCTCCTCCAATGCTAACTTCCCTTTCCAAGTGACAGCAGTAGCTCTCGAACACACTCACATTTACATGCAACTTGAAACCCATCAAGAATAAAAATTCAAGCTCCAAGTTATTTAATTCGTTTATCGTCAATCCTCCCACTCGCGCAAAGTACGAATTTCTGTAATTCCTGATCAACAAAAAACACCAATACTATCAGAAGTGTAATAGATTTGCTTCCTTTCCCTTTTAGTATTATCATCTGTCAACATGCCGAGCAAAGAAAAAGGTAAAAAAGAAGGGGAAACAATACTCACATGTCTTCAACGTACTTGGAAGCCACCATGATGGTTATAATGAGAAGCCTATGTACATTTCTTGTATCAATCCGAAACCTTGGATTTGACTGGCAAAACCGATCAAGATATACATATGCAACCACATAAACTGATGGTCCGGCTTTGGTGTATCGGAAGATTCTCTCTAGGTAGGATTGAATTGTCATGTCTGGTGTCTCATGGCAATCAAAAACTCTGCTTCTGAAATCCTTTGTCAGCGCCGATTTACAATTCTTGGAAATCCTTTCGTTTCTTGCCATTGTTCTCTCAATAAGAGAAGCAAGAACTGATATCACCAGTGGGATGTTTGCATTATTCTGATAGGAATATGAGTAAAGATCGGATCGAAGCTTTCTTGGAGAGATTGTAAGGGAAGATGCTGCCATTTCTGTGAGTTAAAAAACGTTCTTCTCTGTATGTGGTCACACGGAGAAGATTATGCTAATGAGCTTGAAATCTGAGAGAAAATGAAGGGGAAACCTAAGCTGTAGGGTGTTGAAAAAAGGGTGAGGTTTAATGAGGATCTATATTAAGGGGGCTTGAGTTGGTAATCTAAAGAAAGATGAAGAAGATCAGAATGACCTGGTTTAGATAATTAGCTGTGACAGTGTATAAAGAGAGAGAAATGACATTATTTTGGGCCATTTGGAAGGTGGGTGGAAGCCAAGATACGTGACACCAGTATCATTTTCTTAAATATTTGAATGTTTCCTTCTTGTAAAGTTACAGTACAGACAAACCAGCTAAGCTTTCAACATTATAAAATCACCCAATTTTCTGTATCCCTAACCACCCCTTTGGTCCAAAAAAATAGAGCTCGCCGACAGTGCATCGAAGGGAAAGGATGGGCATGAAAGGAAGGACCTTAGTAGCTTCCCTGGTCAGGCTTGGACCCACAGAAAACTAGAAGGCATTTATGGTTGTAGATGTACTTGGCCTTAAGATTCGTGTCCTCTGAAATCCAAAAGGACTCTGGTCCAAGAGGGCGGCCTCTCTGTTACACGTGCAGTAGCTAATTGGTTTTCTACTTGTGGTGGTACTCCGTGCAATTTTGGTTGATTTCCAGTCAATTGTTTACCAGATCATGCTTCATTTTGCTGATCTAAGATTAGAATTTTCACTTCAAAAATCTTGAATTTTTTCTTTTTCCCTTAAATTTTCTGCATATTTTGCATGTTACTTTGAAGCCAACCGACACTAAATTCAACTCTTTATATTGATCTATCAGGATGACTTACCATGAAGATAACAAAAGTAATTTTCCAATCGATATCTTCAAAATATGAAAGTGTAAGTTGACAGTTAATTAATAATAGGTGAGAAAGAAGTCCTAACGTATACTTGTATATACCATGATTTCTTATATTAGTACCAATTATTATAACAATAACAATAATAAATATATAACTATATTTTGTAATTATGCAAGTGGCGAAAACCTAAAATGACCACTATGGTTAATCACCGTTGGTTAGATCGATCGCCATTCTTCAATGTGATCCACAATTTTTGTTGAAATGAAATCTTGTCTGAAAATGATTTGGACTATCAGAATCTTACAGATCGTTGATTTTGCCACAAAGTTGTCTTTCTAAATTCTAATCTTTCTCAATGAGTAGAGAAGGGGAAAAGTTGTTTTTGAGTTGCTGCTACCATACACACGTCTTCTTTTTCTTTTGAAGGAAAAAATTTGTTCCCACATTTTTCCTTGATTTGCAAAATAACAAATCAAGCCTATAGGCCATTACTTTTAGGATCTGACAAGGGAGCCCATACCAAGCCTCAAGGCACTTCTATACCTCCCTGAGGGTTAAAGCCTGAATGAAATTAGCCCAAGTTGGGCCTAGAGAATTTGTTTTCTAGGCCAAACCTAACCCATAGGCCACAAAATTTTGGGCTTTTTGCACAAATAAGATAATGGGCATCAAATGTTCAGGACAAAAGGGGGATCAAGGCCCAGGACCAAGTCTCCTTCTCAGGTGCAAATATATATACGAAAAAAATGGTGTGCTCTGGTTTTTACTTATTATTTTTAGACGAAATAAATGTGTTTAACTATTTATATATTCATTGTCATTCCCTCTTACTTTCTGTGGGATTCGAAAGAGTAAAATTTTTATTCTCTTACTCCATCCATACCTTTTATCGTTCTCAAACAATGTAAAAAGGCTTAAAGTTTGAAAAAGAAGAAAAGAAAAAGGGGAATTTTAATTACTACAAAAGAGCTGAGGTCAGTGATTGTGTAACGAAAATGAATATGATCCACAGGCCACGTAGGATATGATCTTCCGACCCACGAGATTTCTTTTGGATGAATTAAGGAATAATAGCCGTATATGAAAAAACATTTCAGCAAGCCTTTCTAATAGTGACCAACTCTGTTGGGATCAGCTAAAAATGTTCCAAAAGCATCTCCTTAAGAGTTACAAGCTATTGGTTCTTGGTTGGGTCCAGTACATGAATTTTACAAGACCAAGTCGCCATTTTTTGACAATGTGACAATCGTTTGACACATCAACATCCGGTACCATTCCTACTCCTCGAATAACAAAAGCAAAACGCCATCAACTTGGCTGCCAGCATTGCTTTGGTTCTCAGGATTTGCAAGTTTTCCTCCCATTTGCTTCTATCGTTTTTCCTTTTGTTCCTTTTCATCTCTCATTAAAGAGGTATTATTGCTTGACCATGGTGAGTGATAGAAGAGCAAAGAGATTGGCACCAAGCAGGCATTAGAACAATTCTTATGATGGGACAGAACAAATATGCGCATTCGAAGGAACATTTATAACATTCTCCAAATGAGGGAAAACAATTATGCATGGATATAAGTTATGTTCTTTTGCTTTCAAGTTGCAAAGATGTCATGAAGCATACGATTCCTCCTTCCGTTACATCTATTTCCCTTTTGTCACCTCTTCTTTTTTCCTTCATTTTCTTTTTTAATGCTTTTCAATGGATTGAGTTGGTAGGGGACAGTCACTCAAACACGATATAGAAATAGGATCTTTCTACTTAAGGCCTAAAGACCCTTTCATCTTTCATCCATAAAAATTATAAGACTTTTTTATATGTGATATTAAATTATATAATAAGATATAGTCTTCTCTTGTTATATTAAGTATTAACTTATCCAATTCATAATTTGAACTCTATTTTAAAATAAAATCTTAAAATTTTATAGGAGATTCACATTGATATCCATGAATACTCTTAAAAATTGAACAATAAGAATTGACAAATTCGTTAATAATTATATATATATATATATATATATATATATATAAATGAACATTTCTGAAAAAAAAAAAAGTAGTAAATTTGTCATTGAAAGTGAAATATCAGCCTTACATCAACAAAGAACAAAAGTTTTGTTCAGTTCATTATGATAAGTTTTTCTACTATTCTATTGAACTCATATGATAAATGAATGTTTGACTTTATCTAGAAACATATATTTATATTTCATAGAAAAACAATAGAACCTTAATAACGCCTCAAAATAGTTTTGACGTGATGGAGCAGCAAATTAGTAAGAGTTTGATATGATGACTGAGAAATTCAAAGTGCTCGAAATTGAGATTAATTATTTTAGGTGGGGAATAGGGCTAGATTTTCAACATAAAAGCATGTGTGGTGATCTCATCGTCCAAGCGTTTCATTCTCCAATCATACATGATACACTCTTATCTATCTTTTAAATAAGGATGTTATAACAGCTAAATGCCAAGTCTTTTGGGGTCATTTGTTGAAAAGGAGCATAATTTCTTCACATTTTTCTGCAAATAAAGAACAAATTAAACAAAAAAACAAGCTATCTCATTCTTAATCATCGACTATATATCTTGCTGATTAATTCTATAAGATGTAAATATTGTTTTGTTTAATTTAAAGTGGAGAAGATTGAATCTTCGTGTAATTATTTATTTTTATTTAAAAAAAAAATTCAAATCTTGGTTTTTTTAATAAAAAAGTCATGTTCTAACCAATTGAGCCAATTCGATCATGTAATTAAACAGAGAAAATGTGTCTTGGAAGTAGTTTATATTGCATATGAACAAAACCCAAAATGCAAGCAGCTGATTCCTCATTTACATACATAGCTGATTTAGTACTAAAATTTCCAGCAGGGTTCCAGAGTGGGGCCAACTTGAGAATCTATGAAATGATGTTGAACCAGTTGATATTAAGTGATTAGTAATTCATACAGAACAACTTGCAGCAGCCTGGATAACGTTTGTGAGGATTTGGTGCACTAGCAAGTCCGACCAAAGACTCAAAAAGAAAGGGCAAATGTGAAAGGCAAAACCCACCCCTCCAAGAAAAATCTATTATCGGCTTGAAAATAGGCATTTCTCATGATTTTGTTCAAAAGGCCAATGTCATTCACAATATGGCAAATGATAATTTGTGTGGAACCCATTGGAACAAACGTTTGGTGACTCCCAAATACAAGTTGACAAATGAGCATCCAATCATTCAAATGTTCATCTTTTAATGAACATTTCACATTAGATGTCTCCCAAAGGAATTGGAAATCGACAACAATACTTCAGATATTGGTTTTGAATATCCACCATTAAATTACAGTTAGCAGACGATCCCATGATCAAATTTGCGTTTCTACTATGTATGTCATCAATGATGAGAATGGAATGCCTTGTTTCAAAAAGATTTGATTGCTGGCTTGCATGCTTAATTACATTATTTTCAATGCTAAAATATTACAGGATTCTAAGTTTTTGCACAGAATTGAACAACCTTCGTTTAGCTCCAATTAAGCATATGACATATGGAAACTTCGAAAGATGAAATTTTTTACACTAAATACAAGGTTGAGGAAAGGGAAAAATTGGAAGCTCTTGGCTCATAGTAACCATGATATTACAAATCCAAAGAAAAAATTTTGCATCAAACTTACCACCCACACGCTTTGTAATTATCAAGAAATTATAAATAACTACAAGAACTAGATCGTACCAAAACCCTTTGCAAGTGTAAGAATTAAAACCCAAGTTCAGGTTTTTGCATACAAAAACGTAGCTAGCAGTAAAGGCAAGAAGCTTAGCTCTTAGAACCAGAAGCCGGAGGTTGTTGCATCTGCTGATACATGGCGGCCATTCGACTGTAAGCATCCATGGTCATCGGCTGCAACAAATTTGTAATCAATTAAATAGCCAATATGTATATCATTGTAATTTATAAATCTCACATTCATCTAGATTATTTTAAGATTAATCTTAAAATATGCTACCTGCGATTGGCACGCAAGGAATGCGGATAGGGGGTCTGGCATTACAGCTGCTGAGGCAGCTTGTAGTCGGTCACCAGAGCCATCCCAAGAAGTCATGGTCATGAAAGGATTAGGCAGAACAGGAGAGATGCCGCTGACGTTTGGCCGGCCCATGGGGTTCATGTCCATGAAACCCATGCCCATCCCCATCCCCATCCGCATCCCCATTCCCATCCCCATTGGGGCCATCATTGACATTTGGAGTTGCTGTTGCATTGTCATAGGCAACATCATTGGTGGTATGTTAAACCGACTCATTATTTGAACTTGTGCTTGTAGTTGTTTCAGATATTCAATCACTTCGTCTAGCATTGAAGCTTTGTCGGTCTGTAATGAAATACAATTAATCTAGTAAAATCAGTAACTTAGAAGCATAAAGCATCAAAATCGCTATAGTTTTGAATTTGTAATTTGTAAATATTGAGAAATCTCATCGAGAAAGGTACACAGGAAATAAGGAAAACATTCTTCAAAGAACCATGTTCATATGCATGCATGCTTTATTCTGTTACACTCCCATACTGCCAAACATGCAGAGCATCAAAGGCCCTGCTAACTATGATTATCAGAAATCTGTTTTAATTTGCAGTTCTATAATTCCTAAGGGCAAAAAATGAAGTTGAGGTGCTTGTGAACTCAAATGTGAGGGTTTTCCTGGTTAGTTATACACTGAAACTTAATTCCAGTAAGACTTGAACCATTCAATATTTTCATGCTTGGTTCCCCTTTTCCGAACAGAAATTGTAGTATTAATCAAAAGGTGAACACAAACAAAACCCTGCGTCACATAGTGCACCGCACAGTTCTTCAAGTCCTTTTAATTAACGTACAATCAGATAGTGAAAAAAAGACAAATCTCTCCCAACCGTAATATATGTCACTATGTTTTGCATGCATGACCGACTCGCCAAGGCGTGTACACCAAACTACTTCTCTGTACCATTATTTGCAGTTAATATAGATTAGAATCATGGCAATGACAGATTTCAGACATGCCCAAGAGCAACAGGGGCCTACCATGAAAGGGTATTTATGTGGTAGCAGGTGATTGTCTCCACACCAAACAACCTTCTGTCTTGTTGTCCCCATGGCAAATTAGTTTATGTGGCCTAGGATCATTGAAACAGCCCAAAAATTCCCACAGCCACTTGAACCAAAAATGGTTTTGGTCCACATTTTATATCGTTCTATATTATGTCTGCAGCAGTCTAGGGAAGACTAATCTGAGAAATTGGGATCTTCTAATCATGTGAAGTATATAATGTTGTATACATTGATTCAAAAGATAGTTTCCAACTTTCTATATTGCTATCTCTTGGACTTGGGTTTTCTAACTACCAAGAATGGGTAAATAGCTAGTACATAACTGCTCCAAAACAAGCAATCGGGACAAGGATCAAATCTGATGTCAGTGGATCAACTTAGACTAGATAGCATCTAGTATAGGTAATTCTCCATTGGAACAGATCCAAAAGACGAAAGTATAGTATCTTTTATTTAGTTGATAAAATATTTATTCCATGGAAAACCCCAAAAACAAAAAAGTATCTAAGTCGAGGATAAGGATTAAGGAAGACCTCAAAATAAAAGAAGCCTCCGCCCACAAAAATTATTAAGTGAGAGACTGACAGTGAAGGGCAGGAAGAAGACTTCGTCAGCTTTTTTGTTATGTTTTTCTTCTATTATGTACGTAAGGTGGGTCCTTTTTACTTGTTATCATCTGGTATCCTATAGGCTATAGAATATAGATAAGCCTCCAAATCTTTTTATTTTTTGAGCTTTTTACGAAGCAATTGGTACTAGTTTATAACAAAAGCATAAAAGTAATCCTACCGTACTGTATTGAGATGGCAATATCACTCCAAATATGGAAAATTGTGGAAAATAAACGTCATGAGAACTCAGATAATCCACTCAACTACTGTACTCGAGCTTTTGACCACCGCGAAAATTTTGCAGAGATTTAGTTGTTGCTACTCGTCTGCTTACTAGTATCAACATAAAAAGCAGAGATCAAAATTTCGTACCTTGCTAGAATTGGGTACGAGTTTCTGCAACGTTTTCATCCTTTGATTTATCTTATCTCTCCTTTTCTGGGGAAACCCAAAAAATAATGTAAATACTCCTTATAAAGAAGAAAATGAATACTACTGTTACAGCGTACCAACGATGGTATTTAATTATTTATACAGTATACTCTTGAAAAGTCAAGTTTCTTGCTTTATCCTTTTCACTGTCGCCACTAGCCTGATCGAATCCAATCATTGACAGTGATCATCAGCTTGGTGTCTCATTGATGAAGACAATTATAACCACCATTTTCTTAATCAAATTTTATGGAGTAATATTCAATCATGATTAACAGAACAACTACATTGGAGTTTTATATTTTATTTTATTTTCTTAAATTCCTTTGAGGGAGAGAGAGCATACACGTTCAGACTGGTTATGGATAGCAGCAGCCCTGCTCCTTTTAGTTGAAACTGAAGATTTCATTGTTTCCTTCTTCTTGGCTTCCTCACCTGCCTCCCTCTTTAGCAAAACAAACATAAAAAAAAAAAAAAAAGAAGAAGAGAAGGTTTTTTCAATATTTTTGTAAAAATAAAGCAAAGAAACTCAAAGTACATACACATGCAATAATAAATATTGAAAAGATCTTTGCCTGGGGTCTACTGTGACAGACAGAGTCATGATCATCAGCAGTGGTAGCCTTGGTACAGTGTTTTGCAGAGCTTGTATTTTCAGGGGAACCAAGGGAAGTAGAAGTGAAACCCACACCCAAATCTTTCTCATACGTATCAACAGTCACGTGCTGGCCATCTCTTCCAAACGTGGCACTGGCGCTTGCACTTTGTTCCTTTCTGCTCCACTCTGGTGTTACTCGAACACGCGCCGCCAGTGCGGGTTTCCCCGTGAGGATCACCTCGTCGTCTTGGGTACCAGCTGCCCCACTACAGGATCCCAACTTAGTGGAGCATCCCACCACGCAAGTGCCTCCAAGCCCTGGTATAGATTCCATCACGTGCGTGGCCCGGTCCTCGGACCTGTTCGAGCAAGGAACCAAAGCATCCATGGTCTTGGTGGCTGAGGACGCCGCTGCCGCGGCTGCAGCACGGTGGTGGTCCAACCAGGGTACAATCTCATCGCCGCCGCCATTAAGAGAAGCCTTATGATATGGAAAGCGAGTGGCCTGGTTCACTATGGACTCCAAAGTGCCACTAGCGCGTGGCTTATCCCAAGTGTACTTAGGGGAAGAGGTGGAATTAAGTAGTTTGACCGGCACTCGTGGCGGACCTAAACTGTGCATGGTTAGTTGGCCATTTTCCCATGTTAATTCTGCTACTTCATAGTCTAACCTGCAAATTAAGTAAATCACAAACATCAACAAAAAGTAAAATTGGTAAATTTACAGTCACACGTATGTAAATACGCGTAGATAAAGAAACAAGCTGAAAGATAAAGAGATGAATTTTTACATGGGAACATCAGGGGTAGTAGAATTGGAGTTGGAACGGAGGGAGTGGCGTGCAGTGGCAGGATTGTCGTCGAGATCCCAACTGGGAACACACCGACTCATTTTAACAGCACTTACCGGGAGTACTACCAGTGATTGCTGTCTTAGAGGAACTTGTCCCATCCGTTTTGCTTCACAATTTTCATGTTTCAGACAGGCGATATATATATTTGGGTCTCTTTTTTTTTTTTTTTTTCCTATTCACGTTGTTGTTGTTGTTCAACTCATAATAGGATTTGAGAATGGAGTCATTGAGTGGTACTGAAAAAAATAAATGCCTTCCCTAGCCTTTATTATCGTGGAGATGAGAATCACAATCAATTGAAGAAAGAGAGAGAGAGAGAGAGAGAGAGAGATTCTGGTCCATATATAGTGAAAAAGAAAATGTGGAAACGCTTAAAATAAAAATAAATAAATATAAGGTACGAAATAATGGTGGGTAACTACATATATCAAGCTAATATCCATGGGAGATAGCCACAGAAAAAGAGGGTCAAAGAAAAGAAAGCTAGGAAACAAAGGGGAAACTCCAAAATTAATATCGAATGCAATTGTGGTGCGGGATAACGGCACGCACATTGAACAGTCAGAGAACGGAGGCGATTGAGTGAGCTGTTCACCGAAACAGCGCGTGGAGAACTGTAATTTTGACTCATCAACTGTACTGTCACGCGCAAAAGCTCTACTGGTGAGAGGTAACAGGATCTAACTATATATATATACGGGAAAATAATTAAGAACCTTTGTTCAGATAATAGCTCTTCCCACCAAATTTCTACCATTGTTCAATTTGGAACTATGAATGTTCTTTGAAACATTTATTGCATCTGATCTGAGGCATAGAGTTCCTCGCTTTCTGGTTAATCTGTGACTCTATCATTACCAGTCTTCTTATGATCAAACGGGGTCCATTCTCCATATAGCAAAGATAAGATGAGTCATACAGCCCAAAACTGGCGAAGAACTGAAGTTGAAATGTTGTTGCAGGCTGTCAGTTTAAACTGTGAAGTTGATTAACTATCGAACTATTTGGTGTGTCTAGATTTTTTTAAAGAAAACTACTCTTTTGTGAAACATATTTTCAACGATTTGTGGTGATTAATGCTGCTATGTCAGTACTGTATTCTGGTCATTGCTTGGTTTTTTTGGGTAAAAAATCAGCCCTCAAAGGAACAGGAATTAAATCTAATAAAATATCTGATTTTTAGCTAAATGCATGCGAGGGAAAAATAATGGTCCAGAGATACCGACAGTCGGGCTTCAATGAGGCCTGATTCATAATTTCCATGATGTTTACCTGCTCAATGCCTTGAGTTGCATGGATATTCCAGGGTCCAAAGATTAATCACGGGAGAGCAAACCTTGACTAATAAATTCAGGAACACTTTCTATTTTCTATGATCGCCTTATTGATATCGAGGACTCTATTGAAGTTTGAGTCTTTGCTTGAACCCTTCAACTATAGATTGATTTCATGTAAACCCTTCAGGATACAAGGATGAAGGGGGTGAAAACATCATGCATTTTTTCACTTCAAGGATTGACACTCCAGAATCTCACTCTAACCACCTTCGACATGCCACTTGAAAAAGCTGCACAGTATCTAAAATCTCTATAATACAGCCAACGCAAACAAACTACCTATATTATTCTTTATGAATATTGAAATAATGTTTTCTTAATTATATAACTAATGTCCTGTATTATCGGCGAGGGTGGCCAACCCAGTGGAAACTCACTCTCTCTGCAGTGAACCCCGTATTGTTAGGAGCCAAAACACCACTAACATTCACCGCCCTGGACCCCTAATTGCTTGATATGAACTTCACTCTCTTGTTCCATGCAATTGAACGTGTTAACCTTAGACGTTAGATCGTTGAAACCAATTCCAAACTTGTACCAAACGACACGAATGTTATATTTATTGATGATATTTGATGTAATAAATTCACCAATGTATCATAGTGGATTGCCAAAGGATTTGAACTGGCAGCTGGGCCACGCACTTTTTAACCAAAAGAGTATGAAAAATGTCCTGCAATTGTATGCGCTCATAACAGGTTCTGTAGTCAACAGGGTCTATATGGGCTTTGCCTTTGCCCCACCATGGTTGTGCCCATTTATTATAGTACTAGTATACCACTTGAGTTTAACGCAGAACTCATTGCTTAGGTTATAATGAACTTCTCCATCCTGCCAGGCCCATAAATTGCAGTAAAATGGCAAAGGAAATTCCAGCTACCAATTGCAGTATAAGCAAGATTCACTTAAATGCAGTTTGTCGAACATGGAAGCACTTATTTCATCTCTGTCATACACTATTGGACGTACGAAACTTCATTGTCTAAAGAAATCCTTACAAAATCTATACAAAAAGATGACATATTACACCTATAACATAAACAAACCAAAATTGAAATTAAATAGTTTCAAAGCTCAAGCCATATCAATGACTAATAATTTGATAAACTCAAAAAGAAAGAACCTATGAATATCTCATCACTCAAAATTATTTTCTGTTTGAGGATTTCTTATGACTAATGACCCTTTTTTTTTTTTTTTTGCTTTTCTTGAAAATTGCCTTTTCTTCTTTTTTTTTTTTTTTCATAATTAAAAAATTGTTGGGAAAAGGTGGAACAAAATCTTATCCGCCGATAAAGTAGTTACTCATATCACACATTACAAGAGACAAAAGCGTTAAAAGTACACCAGTGTTATTGTGGCAAACATAAGACAGGATTCAGTTACACATCATTTCCATATAGTATTGTACTAACAAAAAAGGATGAAGCAGGTTTCAGATTATACCAAATTACCATGCCTCCAACTCTAATCACCCTATAGAATTACGCCACGTCATTCCAAACATATCCATTTTGCTAACGTGGCACCTCTATATATATAAAACGAAAAGGATTTGCTTGAAGAATTTGTAACATTGTACAACCCACAATCCAATGAAAAGAAAAAATGGTTATGTTTCAGTTGGGAATCAAAATACCAGTTATGGAAAATGGGGAAACTACAGAAAAAGAGAAGCAAAAACTTACTTCAATTAGACAAAAATAAAGCAGATTAACTGATACGTACAATAATTATTTGAGTTTTGGATTTGATTTTTCAAATGTTTTCTTTTTAAAGCAAAAAAGAAAAACCTAAATCCTTAGGAAATGTCACATTCACTAGGATCACCAAATTCCACCAAGACAAACCCTAACCCTAGCCTTATCCCTAATTCTGACCATTATTACGATAAAAACTTAAACTTAAAGCTATCACCAAAAGCCAAGAGTAGGCCAGGGGCTCGAAGCATACCGGACATTTGGTTCAAAAAACAAGCTCTAAAGCATGTTATTTACAAGATGCAGCAGCAGTTCCACCGACCTCTCAGCAGCACCCCATCAACTTCGCCGCCATCCGAGCTTGATTTAACGTCGTATCAATCACTTTCCTTCGACCCAACCGCACCGGATTTCATCTCCCTCCTCTCCGACGAACTCCTCCTTAAAATATTCTCCAAGCTTCCCATATCTCAACGTGTCTCCAATTCCTTGGTAGGCAAACGTTGGTTGTACCTTAATGGCCGGTTGGTGCAATCACTTATAGTTACAGATTGGTCGTTTGTTACTTCGGGTAGGGTTTTAAACCGGTTTCCCAATCCCACCGATTTAGACATCGTCCGTTCGTGTATTCGGATGCCAAAAAACTCTGGCATTTTAGTAACTCACAAAACAATGTCGGTTAATGTCGATACTAGTTTTACTCCCAATGGATTTATCGAATAAACGGCGTTGTTGCCATCAAATGAGGTTGATCAAGGGCTTATAATGATAGCCGAAAAGTACCCGAATTTGCAGAGATTTGTGGCGATTGGGGCAAACGAAGAAGGGTTGCTAAGACTTGCGGAGGAGTGCTCTACATTGCAAGAATTGGAGCTACATTGTTGAGGGGATTCGGCTTTGAAGGGTATTTCGGGGATTAAAAATTTACAGGTGGTGAAATTGATTGGGTTTATTGATGGGTTTTACAATTCCATAATTTCAGATATTGGGTTAACGTTATTAGCTCAAGGGTGTAGAAGGTTAGTCAAGCTCGAGCTTTGTGGATGTGAAGGGAGCTATGATAGGATTAAGGCAATAGGGCAACGTTGTCAAATGCATGAAGAATTGAGCCTTTTTGATCATAGAATGGACGGTGGGTGATTAGCTGGGCTTTCGTTTTGCGGGAATTTGAAGACTTTGAGGCTTAAGTCTTGTAAAAGTATTGATAAGAGTGCCGAGGCGGATGAGCATTTGTGGTCTTGTTTGACTCTTGAAGAGTTGCAATTGCGGCGCTGTCAAATTTGGGATAAGCAAAGTATTAAAGCTTTGTTTTTGGTTTGCGAGAACGTTAGTGATATTGTTTTACAGAATTGTTGGGGTTTGGAGGATGATGTGTTTAGCCTTGCAAGTATTTGTAGGTACGAGACTTCTTGTCATTTCGATTAGCATCATCTTTTTTTTTTTTTACTTGGATTATTGTAGTTCATGTTTATTTTCGGATTCTGGTTTCAAATGATATATGTATCAATATATTGCTGTTTCCATGTTAGCTTATTTGCAACCTCTGATTCCTAGAGAGTACCTCTTTATGTTTCATAGTGCATTAGTGATCAGGTTTCGAAGGGTTTCTTCTTTTAAACAATGGGCACTTTAATCTTGAAATATGACAAGAGGAAATTTTAGGCCTTTGCCAGTTGATTTAATATTAAAATTATTTGCACTAGCATAGCAATAAATTTCTGGAATTTCAGAATTGGATTCCAAATGAACAAGAGGTCATGCCCTTCCTTTTGATGATTAGTAGGTTGAAATGTCTCTGTGATATGCTCATTGCTTGCCTTTTGAAATCCCAGCCTGTTTCTTATGTAATTGTCATGTTCAAATAGTTAATAGGAATTTTTGTTGATGATCATGATGCATTCTCAGTTGTCTAGTTTCTTTCATCACTTTTCAATGGATATTCAGTTTGCAACAGTATTTTATTGGAATTCTGACTACCGATTTCTATTTTGCTTTTCCCCACTTTATAGGAAAGTGAAGCTTCTTTCTCTGGAAGGATGCTCATTGCTGACAATAAAAGGTTTGGAGTCGGTAGTGCTTTCTTGGAAAGAGCTTCAGCGATTGAGAGCAATGTCATGTAATAACATTAAGGATACTGAAGTCACACCTGAACTGGCAACCTTATTTTCTGTGCTGAAAGAGTTGAAATGGAGACCAGATTCCCGATCTCTGCTATCATCAAATCTGGCAGGGACTGGAATGGGAAAGAAAGGTGGTACATTCTTCAAGAGGTCAAAGGATTGATTGATCTGCCTGGTGCCATGCATCTGGGTCTCAACTAGTTAATGCTCAGATGAACAAAATAGTAGCTGCAAAAACATCTCCATCCTTTCTATAGTTTAGATGATCTTCATCATGGTGATAACAAAGGAGGATTTGCCATTCTTACACGCATCAAAGCAGTTAAGCAGAGTTGTCTTCTGAATTATTTTAATGATGGATTCCTTCGGTTGTCATAAAACCCAGAATGCAAATGTCAACATCAAGCAAGAATCACATTGTTTATGCATTTTAGTGGTAGGAGTCTTTAACCATGAGTGAGGTTAGATTTTCTAGTTAGTCATCTGACTTTTTAGTTTATATAAACAGAAAGTGTAATAATATAGTTTTACAGTTTTACACTCTCATTTTTCAAACCCATTATAATTGGGATCAGGCTTCTTTGCATTTGATTTCCTTGACAGAATGAATGATCCATTTATTTAGGTTTAATATAATCGACGCTTTTGTTTTTTTGTTTAATATTTTTTATTTTTATTCATAATTTGCTAAAAGCAAAGGAACTTTATCGAACAAATCGCATTATTTTTGGGCATGTTTTGTTTGAGTTTGCTTTTTATACAGTGCCAGTGCAATTTTTTAATTCCCACATATTTACATTGATTTTTAGATTTATTTTTATATGCAAAAAAAAAAAAAAGGAAAAAAATCTCAAATTGGGCCAACTTAGCCCATATAGTCTGGGCCCAGTTAGGCCACACAATCGTACGCGTCGGAATCGATGCATGCAGGCAAGTTTGATTCGTACTTTGTCTGGGAATCTATTGATGACGTGGCTAAAACTGATTGGTCAGTGTTGCGTGGAAGTATCCCACAATTTGCGTTCAAGGAAATATATTGGTCAAAGTCTCAAGGACATCAAACGGGCGTCTTGGCCATAAAAGAAAGGGCGTTTCCAAAGCTTGCAAACGTACGATCTGAATTCTGATTTCCAAGTCGACTCAGGCGAGTTCTTCCTCTTCTCGCTTTCTTTTACCTTCCATTAGATTATAATTGTTGCGTTTCTATAAACGATGGCTAGATTTTGGATTTTATCTCAGATTCGCATCCGAATAGAATAGATCGATCTACTGGATTACTTGCATTTAGATCTGGTTTCTGATATCTGATTCTTTTACGTTGTTTTGATTGGTTTTTTCTTAAGATCTTCAACTTTAGGGTTTTAGAAATTCTTTACATATGATTGTTAACAAGGATTTAGGGTTTGAATTAGATTGTAATTTGATCGAATCTTAAAATTTGGTGGATTGAATTCTATGGTTTTCCTTTTCGGTGATTCAATTAGTAGAATTCAATTGCGTAGAGCATGAATATTTAGTACAAATTTTGGTGGTTTTTATTATAATTTATATTATGATATATGAACATGATTTATGCTGATTTTATTGATAAAGTTATAACGGAGATTTGATAACTTTTGGGCATTTTTACCACCTCTATAAAATTGACTATTTGCATCCCATCTGTTTTTTTATTCTTTCTTTTCTTTTTTTTTTTTCTTGCAACTCTCTTTGTTCCTTGCAAATTACTTGCAATTCTCTTCAGAAATTTGTTTAGGTTTTACCCTCTAAGTTGTGTACCATATAGCACATGTAGCATGGCAGAGCAGCCATTCTTCACTAAACCCTCTTCAAGAAAATGTGATAAATATGTATTTATTTTTTGTTAATACTGATTTGGAAATTCATTACTATTTTATTGGGTGCTAAATTCATTACTATTTGTATATATTTTTATCTGTTATTGAAAATTGAAGTTGTGCGCTTTGGTGGTTGGTACAGAAATGGCAACGGGAACAGCACCACCAAGAGGAAGTGCAGCGGCAGCTGCAAGCATGCGCAGGAGGAGAACAACAAGCGGTGGTGGGGCCTCAGGAGGGGCTGCTGGGACTATGCTTCAGTTTTACACAGATGATGCCCCAGGACTCAAGATCTCTCCAAATGTCGTGCTTGTCATGAGCATTGGTTTCATTGCTTTTGTTGCCATTCTCCATGTCATGGGCAAGTTGTATTTTGTTCGTAGGGACTAGGGAGGCTTCAGAGTGTTTTAACAGTAGCAAACTAAGTTCAATGTCGGGATTTTCAATTGTCCGTGGTTCATTACTTTTTGACCTTTTACAGATTATAATTTAGAGACCGATTTAGTTTGATTCCCTGTACTTGTGTTTTGTTGCGGTTCCATTTCAAATTCTCGCGTCTGAATCCCTTACTCACCTGGAAGATACGCAGTCAAGCTAAAAAGATATTTACACTGTGTTGCATTGTGTTATAACAACTCCCGCGCTAGCTTTGGCAGTGAAACGCAATACCATTACCTTTTCTGAATGAACGGGTCACCATTTTCTTGGAAAAGAACTTGAATAATTATGTTCTGGGAGGGCGTGGTTCAGCACCAGAGAAATTTTCAGTTACAATCTATCCAAATATAGAAACTCAGAAATAATGTCCAACCAACCGCAGCCTCCTTTGGAACCGGAGAAATGAAGCCAAACACCTACTCTAAATTATGTAGCGGGCGCATAGAGGAATTGCTGCATTGCATGATCATTTTCTAACGGTCATGACTCATTTGGCCCAAACAGTCGATCAGAGCCACCTAAACCTCATTTGGCCTGAGCCAATGAGGGGTGGTTTTAATTCACAGTTTATACACAATAATCTAACACCGAATACAATATTCTTCCGGTCCGAGGCATTTACAAATAATAAAACTGCTGTGATCTCGAGTAAATTTGAACTGGTTTGTCAGAGGATACAAGGATAAATAACAAAAGGTGATACATTGCTTACAAATGGTGATTTTAAAATTAAACAGTTCAAATATATAAACATTAAACAGACCCTTAATGTGCGTTGTCGGATACCCAACCACTCTCATCCACAGGTTTCAGGCCCCCACAAGATCGTGCAACAGATTCAAAGAGTTTTTCAATCTCGGGTGCACACCTTATGAATGATCGATTCCAGAAGTTGTATCTTGGATTCTGAAATATAAAAACATGAACCTCAAGGCATATAGGCATATAGGCATATTCCGTACCAGAAAGCTAAAAAAATAAGATCGCATTCAAAATCAGTTTTACCTTTATGAGCTCAATGAAGGTAATAAGGAGACCCCACGGGTGAGGTTTATTAACAATTAACCGTTCCAACAGAACTCTTGTAATTTGCTCTTGGATAATTTCCTGAATAAAGCAAAAGTGTATTCTCATCCATTTGAAATGAGCAGCAAAAAAGCAACAGATCAAACAGTAATCTCACCTGATTTGATTCGGCAAATAAGAATAGTAAGATGAAGGAGAAGTAATGTGTATGGTTGTTTGGGTATCGCAATTGGTTAGCAATTGCATTAAGAAAAAGATAGCGCCCCTCAGTATCAAGGTCCCCTATTAGGCTCTGGAAAATATCCAAGGCAGCACCAACCAAGAACACAGTCATTGGAACAGTGTTTGCTGTTGACTGTGCATGAGGTACTCTTGACTGCAGTTGCTGGATAGCCTAAAAGCAATTTGCCACAGGAATTTGTTAAACGGTGAAGTTATATTCACTAAATGCAGATGATAAATTTTCCATATGAAAAACTTGTTACAGTTAACAGAAGTGAAAGGTGACATCTAGAAAAGTAGAAGATACAGTAGAATACCTGCATTCCAACATAAAGCACCAGTGAGTTGATTAATGGTACATTATAACGGGTACCAGCAGATGCTGCCTCACTAGGTGAAAGGAGCAGTCTTTGTTTCAGTTCAGTTAGAAATGATCCTCCTTGTAGCTTAGTCTGCAGAGAATTTTTCAGACAATTTTCAGAAAATAATTAAGAGAGTTACATAAACGGGATGGATAGCTGACAAGAATAAAAATTTCCAGTGAAAAGTAATAGAAAAAACACCAATTATCATATCTGAAAATGTTACATAAGAAAAGTAGGTTGAAGTAAATAATGAAGATAAAGGGAAAAAATTAGGGATGGGAAGAAACAAGCCAATTCATAAAGTCCAACACACAATAAAGAGTGAATTTGAGTACCTTGAGATACTCATCTACATCAGCCTTCATCTGTTTTGCTTTAAGAGCAGCATCAACCTCAGAGAGGATGCGAGGGGGTTCTCTGATTTCTGGAAGCAAATCAATCTGCACACCAAGTGATTAAAGAATTAATTTCATGATTAAACTATCTGGAAAAAAAGAAAAAGATCAATCCTGATGAATTGACACCTTTAGGTTGGGTGTAGATGGATCTGGCAGCCTCATATTGCGTGGAAATGCACTAAGGATAATATTCCGCATCTGTATGCAGCTCGGAGGAATCACATCACAGAAGGTAAAATGATAATCACACAGGAACTCAGGAAAGTCATGAAGCAGAACTAGCAACACCCTCAGTGTGCCTTTATACAGAAAATGAACCTATACAGATAACACAAGAGAGAATAAGTGGGACCATCATAATTAGTTTACAATGGCAACAAATAATGAAATCAGTCTTTAGAAAGAGGCAAACCGGCCCTCTAAGCTCAGCATTCCTCAAAAACGGCTCCAGGAACTGAAGCAAGTCCACCAGCAACCGTTGGATATAGGGCCAACCCTTCTGAGCATTCCCAGTGAGCAATTTCGGCATGAAACTTCTATGACTGACAAGCTCTAGCCATGCAAAGCTATAACAGCACAGTGAACAATGAATATAAGTAGAAGTATCCGAAGGACTTATGAATAGCAGCTTCCAGATTGTAAATGTGAATGCCAAAATACTAAAGCTCAACAACCAGTTATTGCTTTTCCAACTTCTTCCAACTGGATGCAATGTTCTCAAGACAATCTTCATTCAAATGCACAATAAACCATTAATAAAATGCAAGGTTTATGGGAACAGGAAAGTGCATTAAAGTATCCAGGTGATTTGTTCTTTGGACGTTAGATAGTTTTGCTATACTGGATGATACGTGAAAAATAAAACAGTTAACAGAAAATGTAGCTAATTAAGTCTGTTACAGCAGCTATTTTAAACCTGCAAATTTAGCTACCAGGTAATTTAACCCAAAACGCTGATTTAGCACAAACCTTAGTATAAGGTAAGCCAAATCATTCCAAGTGCAAAGTCAGGACTTAAACCAAGATAATAATAATAATAATATGATCCAAACTAAACCAATGCTTCACGGTGAAAATCTTTTGACTCAAAGACTCAAAATTGCATCATAAATGATGCTTTTTAAGAGGAGACAGCACATTCCTACATATACGAAAACCAAACAAACTTGCAGTTCTTACCTGAAGGCGGGAACTTTAAGGGGCTGCAAAGCATGAAATGCATTGGCAAAGGCTGTCAAAATCTGCAACAAACACAACGAGAATTAGCTATTCAACAGCAACAATCTCAGCTAAGAATATGCAATCAAATTGCACCTGAAAATTTGCACCATCTGTGACAGGGTCCAAGGAACCAATATCTAACAGCCAGTTGATAAATAATCTGAAATATGGTCTTGGATTAAAAGATGCTTTCTTATCCTCTGCATCTTTTTGAATAAATCTCATAGTCATGTTCAAAATCTGTTAAGCACCATAAATATCATTAAATGTTCTTGGAAAACAAAATTGAAAAATATACAAAATGAAATGTAAATAATATTCACCTTGGACATCAGAAAGAGTTTACTTGATCCCTGTTCTACTGGGCAATACTGAAGAAATTGCCAAAAAGGAAAAATTTTAAACATTTGCAAAGTTAGATTTAGAATGAGACAGAGATCATAATGATATAATTAACGAGACCTTAAGGACTGACAGCACAAGTTTGGAATAAATATCAATGGCAAGGAAAGAAAGAGTCTGCGCTTGCTGAGGTGATTGCAATGTGCCAGAACTCATGACCTCAGAAGATAGGCAATGTGCAACAGATAGTTCCTAACATGAAGGAAAAACAATAAAAAATGAGTTTGGTTTCTTGAGTTTTTGGGTGACTTTGTATGTAACAAGGGCGAGATTCACCGTGATAATACGGAAAAAGCGTTCCGTCATATCATCCCCTTTAAGCAGTCCATTTTGATGCAATTGTATGATGTAATGATTACAAGGTCCATCATTTGCACCAGGACGCTCACATATCTGGTACCATTCTGCAAACAGCATGGATACCTACAAAATTTTTGAAAGAATATAACGAATAAGAATTACATAATATCCCCAATTTTCCTAGGCATGCAGAACAAAAGAGGGAAGGCGAGATGGGAGAGACAAGGGCACAGAAAAAAGGGGAGAGAAGATAAATGATTAAAGTACAACAATAAGAATAGTGCAGGACTGCAGGAAGGAATATTTGCATCAGCACTCTCATACATTGGTGTATAAGCAAATTTGCAAGTGGAAGAATGATGATGAGAAAGAAAGTCAAATATAAATAATAGGAACATATGCAACTGGAAGCAAATGGTAGTTTAATACTTAAATGAGCCTATCCTATTAAAAAACATTCAATCTCCATAATATCAAAAGTGGCAATTACTGTAATTGTGATATACTATCAGACCATACTTTGGGCAGGAACAATATGCATATACCACCCATAGTAGCAGAAGACAGGCCAAAGATACCTTGCTTTTGTTTTTGAGATGGTTGCAGTCTCATTGGAGTATACTATGGCAAAAGATGCAGCAAACTATTAATCTGCATGTGTTTTTAATAGGCATTTTTGTTCAAGAAATGACACCACGAGCTTTATATTTGTGCTACCCCTTTTTTAGAAACCCTTAACATCCTCCTAAAATTTTCTCTCCCTTCATATGATATTTTTTGGGTCCATGGTAGATTACTAGCAAAATCTATAACATGCACAATGCATTCTAGCAATGCCTTCTTCAATCTAGAAAAAAATAGTTACCTGCTCCTTGAAGCCAGCAGGATCTGGTTCCAGAGCCTCTATATTACTATTATCTTCCCTGTTAGCTGGTGTGGGACTAGGTGCCTGCTTCAAGAGAAAGATTTCAGGTCATAAGAAAATATTAGAATACTTAAGAATAAAGCAATACCACGGAAGAGTCATTAACCTTTTTGTCTCTAGATTGCCTAGCCTTATCCTCTTTTCCAACAGTGGCACTGGATGAAGCAGCCAAACTGGAAGATGGATTTCTGACCATCTCAATCAACTGTTGCAATGATTCAG